ATTATAACATGGGTGATTATCCAAAAGCACTTTCTTATTATGAGAAAGCCCTTGCAATCAAGCAACAATCACTTCCTTTCAATCATCCCGATTTGGCTATATCCTATAACAACATCGGTGAGGTGTATTGCAACATGAGTGATTATTCAAGAGCACTTTCTAATTATGAGAAAGCCCTTGAAATTCGACAACAATCACTTCCTTCCAATCATCCTGAGTTGGGTAGTTCCTATAACAACATCGGTAATGTATATTACAACATGGGTGATTATTCAAAAGCACTTTCATCTCATGAAAAATCCCTTGAAATCAAGCAACAATCACTTCCTTTCAATCATCCTGATTTAGCTTTTTCCTACATAGGTATCGGTAATGTGTATTACAGTATGGGTGATTACCCAAAAGCACTTTCATTTAATGAAAAAGCCCTTGAAATTCGACAACAATCACTTCCTTCCAATCATCCTGATTTAGCTATGTCCTATAACAACACTGGCTTGGTGAATGAGAACATGAGCAACTATGCAAAAGCGTATTCATTTTATGAACGTACTATACAAATTGGAGAGCAATCATTACTAACAAATCATCCTAATCTTGAACAATGGAGAAAAAATCTCGAAAACATTAAAAAGAAATTGTAATTTTTTTTAATATTTTTTTTGAAAGTAAAATAAAACTGATGCAGAATAAAATGTGTCTATTGAAACTCTGTTCTTGTTGAGAACACAATATAAGTAGTAACACTCACCAGTAAGGTAAAACAATACATACTGAAAATATATGTATTGTAGAAAAGATCTTCACAGTTACATTATTATGTCCGAAGAAGTAGAGTTTTCGTTGTGTTAGATAAGAAAGAAAGATATTGAACAGAAACTGAAGAATAGAAGGAGTGAAAAAGGTTATTTTATCAATAAAATGAATTTTTCTTTCTGTTTTAATATTAAAGAATAGTTCATACCACTGGCAAACTCATCCATATTAAACGAATAGAATACCTGTATATATACATATATATATATATTTATATATATGAAAGCAATTGAGGAGCAAAATCAATACTTTCGTATATAAATAAATAGATATATTATAGTGTTATTCTTTATTTATCTATGATTAGAATAATTAAAATATTTCTTCATTACCACCATAAACCTAAATGAATATGTCAAAAAAATTATGATTCATTACAAAAGAAAGAATAGTCATTATATTGGATCCCATTATTATTATAGATTAGCTACTAATAATAATTAGTGAATATCTTAGTTTTTATTATGAATATGTTCATGTCATATCTATATCAGACTGATATGTGCATAAGCATATGGGGAAATGGAGGATAATGTCCCTATTCTAAAAAAGTGCTTTTGAGCAGAGATAAAGAGTTCTTTAGAAATATTGATTGTTGATTTTCAGTTTTTCATAGAAAAGTGATAATAAATTAATAGCATGTGGATACGAAGTAAGCGATATAATGAAATGTCCATATTAGTGAGAATAAAACTTTGTACAGAAGTAGAGTATATATTCATTTTCTGGTGTGACTTCGTTTATAAACTGTATGTCGATAAAATCTATGCGAGTTCGAGAGTTTATAAAAGATATTGCTCCTTGAACTGTGAAGATGCATCAAAAACCTGTTTTTATTAACATCTCTTGTGTATATGTCTACATATTCTGTTAGAGAAGCGTATATGTAAATAGCTCGTGATATTTCATAGTTATCCTGAAAACTCAATATCTCACGAAAGAAAGAATGCAGCATGAATTCTTTTCACGATTTTCATATTTCGTTGATATCCATTTATGATTAGAGGATAGAATCCAAACGACTGGAGCATGTCAGTATGTTTCATACATTACTGCATAACGTTAGATATTAGTATAATTCACTATAATATGTTAATTACGGTTAGAAGTGCTCGTTCTTAATTAAAACCTGTAATTGAAAGATAAAATTCTTTGAAATTATTATCAATAGGTCTTGAATTTTTTGAAAACCATAATCTATTCCAATTCACGTGAATATCAAACAAATAAATGTATCAAAAATATGTCTTAGTTAATATTGATATCTAGAATTAGCAAATACTATTGCCATTTTCGTATTCAAATAGGTAACAATACTTTTTTTTTAGAGTTCCGTACTATTTTTGCAGTAAAACTACATCCATCTATAAGTTTGAATAAATATTTTATATTTAAATTTTGTTTTGAATAGAATGAATGATAGGATTCATATACTGATTCTCGTTGAACAGTCACACAGACGACATACATCAATTTATTTATTACTTATAAAATTAGATTATATTGTTCTATAGCGATAAACTGATATTTTATTGGTTTCAATTTATGATAACATCATGATAATATTCACAAATAATCAAAGATAAAAGTACTCTTGAATATTTGTCAAACACACGGTTTTCAAAAATATCTAATCTTAACAGAAAAAATATGCTGACAGATGGTTACTTATTCCTGTTGTTATTGTTTTCGAGCATAAAGAAAATAAAAATACAAAATATATCCATACACATGCATCACTATATTAAACTATAGAAGAATTCTAGTAGAAATTATAATTAGTCACTTTAAGTAATGATGGAAAATATTCCATTACAATATGTTTAAATGTATTGATTTTATTGGAAAATAGACATATTGATCATTAATAAAAAGTAATAATGAATGACTTCGATAATTAAATTGTGAAGCATATCGAAACTAGCACATTAGATTCGTGAAACAGATAAATATGAAATCAAAACTTCATTAAAAGAGAGTATTTGCTAAATTGTTCAGTAATAAATCAGATATATTATAAGACTATTATTTTTATCACAATGGAAATCTATTACTAAACTTGAATGATATTTTTTTTAGAAAATTAAATTCGTTTTTTAACTTTTGAATCAGTAATATAGACTACGAATGATGTTAAACATCTAATTTTATATTTTGATGAATACGATTTTTAACTCGAACATTTATAAAGGGCACGAACTTCAGCAATATCTATTGCACTAAGGCCAACTCGTTGACCAATTTTTGCATTTGGATCTTTTGGTGTAATAGTTGGTAATCCATTATTAGAAAAACCACTGGCACTGTAATGCATTATACTTCCGTAGTCGTAAGGTGTATTTTGATTGAGTGCAGTACTACCCCAAACATATTTATTGAAGTTGTGTGCCTAGAAATATAAAGTGAGTTCTAATATGACTTTATTCTTCTTTTAAAAACTTACTTTGCTTGGATCCATATTAGCATAATTGACAGTAATATAATCATCACGATCAGGACGTGATTGTTCATGATATATACCTATTTATTGATAAATAAAATTTAATATCTCACTATATTTACCTATGAATAATTTCGAATAATACGTACTCAGACTATGTAAAAATTCATGTTGAATAGTGCCGGAACGAAAACAACCAGGATTTTCTAATGTCATTGATCTTGTACCTGTACCATATCCTACCTAAAGAAAGGAAAATAATGATTGGACAAAAATATTGTTTTGTTATAAATTTACCGATGCACTACATCCAGTACCATATTGAATTTTAACAAAGACTGGATCACTTGCTGTTCTTGGTCGAATAGTAATACATGGTTTACGTGCTGTTGTTCCTGGAATTATTGTACTTGTTGCATTCATTAATGCATCGATTGCTTGTAGGACAATGCTACGATGTCCAGCATCTATCAATTTGTAATTTCTGTTTTATTGACAGAAGTTCGCAAGATGAATCTTACCTATGATTGAAGATAAATCATATGGAACAACATTGTTTGGCCATAGGCGATTTCCGTAAGCAGCTACACCTTTTGCATCGGAATGACTCTTTGTTGGATCATATCCATCGGGAAAAAACATATCCCCTTCAACTCCACCCCCTAAGAGAAAATTTCTGCATGTAAAAGCATGATCTATATCAATGTTTACCAAGTAATTCATAATCAATTGAATCTTTGATAGGATTAGTAAAGATAATCCCAATGAAAAAACTACAGGCAATAAAAAGATGAGTAAGCATCTTGAAATGTTCTTAAAAAGTATTATAGGCCATCTTGTCTCTCTATTTATACCCGTAACTTGTTGTTGTCATTATTATTGTGTTAGTAAACGATCAGTTTGTTATCTATAGTATCGTGAGAAATTTTTCATCTGACTAATATTTAATATAAATCGCGTGAAATCCGAAAATAATAAGTGAATTTGTATGTAGGCGTAAAACAATCTTCCGAAGTGAAGTCATCAATTTGTTTTTATTTATAATTTGAAATTTTAATAGATAATATTATTTAAGATTTTATATGAATAGTATAAACAAAATACAGTCACTTTTTTCTTCATAAAGAACAATCAAATATTATTTGGAATATTCAATGATATTAAAACATTGTAATATCGATTAAAATGAAAAATAAAAGAATACTATATTAACATAAGATTTATTCACATCTATTGAAATACCGTAAAAGGGGGACCATAGAAAATTGGCTCTGGATGACTAATTACACGTGGTACATTCATTTTGATATAATAAATAATAAAAAACAAAATAACAAATATACCTGTGGTATTAATTACATGTCTGTTTCTTTTTTTTCTCTTTAATCTTGTCTCAACTTCTTAATTTATCAATAAGAACTATTTCAAAAGCGAAGAAATTGCTAATTAATGTTGCATTTAGAACTGTTTTAACCAAAACAATACATACTTCTCAGATCTCTAACTATAAATTATTATATTTAGTTTTATATTTAATCAAAAGTAAATTATACGAAAAAAAAGGTTTATAAATGAATGAATAAGTTGAAAGTTATATGATTTAACCAAGAGTAGGTGTTTTAATGACGTATGTTCGAGTTGGATCAACAATAATGCGAACACGATCCATGCGTAGATCTCTAGTCATAGGATCATTGGCTCTCAAAACTTGAGGATGTAAACCTTAATTAAAAATATAAAGAAGAAATTTGTGAAGTATAAAATAACGATAAAAAAGAAATAAAACCTTTAGCAGATATATATGCAACTGCTTCATGTGCACTTCGACCAACTAATTCAGGAAATGATCGTTGACTATTATTCATTGTAGAAAACATGATATTTTGTTTTACTATCCTCACGTTATCAAATATGACTAAAATAACGATCGAATACAAGACTATTTATGTACCTGATATAGTTTATTCACTGTCATGTAAATTGAAATATCACGAATCATCAAAACAGGAGTGTGTAATAGAAACAATAATGAATTGATTGATAATGTATTACCTTTACGCATTACAGCAGAAAAAGAAAAAATAAATTCAACTACGAAATTTCTTTCAAAAACGTCACAAATATTTAATTAATATTTACCAATAATACTACCATTAGGTCAAAGTTATTTATTATGAAATAATTTAACGTTCTTCATTTTCTCTTTCCGTCATTAAAAAGGCTTATGACTTTTTTTCATAAAAAACACAAAGATATAAAATGTTAATTATAGATCATTAGATGATTGTATGCAAGTCATCATTTTTTAGAGAGTAGATAAACTGTAGAATTAGTATTGATCATCTGAGAAGCAAATCTATATTTTCTATTAACAATTTATTATTTAAA